GAGAGAGAGAGAGAGAGAGAGAGAGAGAGAGAGAGAGAGAGAGAGAGAGAATATACAAATTTTGTAGTCAAAATAAAAGTGAGAAAGAATAGGATAAGATAGAGGTTGGGTTTAGAAAGACATTTCTCCTGAGAAGCAAGAAAGTGCTATGAAGAGCCAAATGCAGTGGCACATGTTTGTAGTCCTAGCTACTCAGGAGACTGAAGCAAGAGGGTTACCAATTTGAGACAAGCATGGACAGTTTAGTGAGACCCTGTCTAAAAATAAAAAGTAAAAGGGTCTGGGGGTGTAGCTCAGTGATAAAGAGTGGCCCTGGGTCCAAGCCACAGTAGTTAAAAATAGCAAAAAATGAAGAAACTAAGAAGAAATAGGTTTTGGAGCTTTAATTTCTGAAATTATCTAGATTTTTTTTCACTAAAACTGGAAACAATCATTTTCATAGTGAGGCAAAGTAGGTAGACTAGTACTAGTACCAACTAACCATTCTTAAATGTCTGTAAAATTTCAGACATTTACAAGACTCTGGTCATATATTTTACTCATATAATCTTTGCAACATAGCCCTAGAAGGCACATAACAGAATCTGTATCTTTTCTAGTGTGCTGAAATTTGAAACTTGGTCAGGATTAAAGAACTATTACTTTTTTTTCTGTTATTCAAGTTCCTGTTATTTCTTTCAGTCCACTAGTAGAATAATTTGGGATTGGGAGAATTCAAACTGGGTCAATCCTGAATGGGAAGTCTACCTCGTGTTAGTCAATTTAGGATTAATATTTTTTAGTATACCCTATAAAAATATTACAGTAAGCACTTAGCATTTATTGAGTTCTCACTAACTGCTAGACTTTCTTACATATATTATCTCATTTAGTTTTGAAGACAACCAAATGAGAAATAGAAAGTATCTATAGACATTTGTCAAATGAGGAAATAAGAGGATCTGAGCTATTAACTAGAAGCTTAACTACTAAATAGCAAAGCCAAAATTCAAAACCAGTTTGTGTTTCATTAAAGAAGACTATGATATTGGACGAATGTAAAAGTACACATGAAACACTTTGTGACATGAAGGAATTTACAATCCAGTAAGTAGTAGTGCTAACTTCAGATCAGTTTGTTTGTTTGTTTTTGAGAACTGGAAAGAGGAATTAAATTCATTATTCCTCTATTCACTTCTATCCATTGCCTCCTTCAGAAATGATTATCTTCAAGTTGTATATAAACATTCTTGCCATTTACAGATATTTTTGTATAAATGATATATTGGTTTATATATAATATTGGCCATATGTATTTCTTTGGCAGAGTAGATTTTTAAAGCAGCTTTTATTTTTTTCATTGTTTAGTTGTTGAATATGATCAACTCATAACTAATATTTTTGTAATGTTGTGGTAGAAATCTTTCAGTCTTTTAATCAATAGTTTGAGTATTTGTATTTCTCATTATTAGAACCAAATCAATAGTAATCATCTTCGAAGAGCAGAACAAGAGGTGACCAATCTACAGGAAAAAGTGCACTATCTTTCTGTCCAGAACAAAGGACTACTTACTCAATTAAGTGAAGCAAAGCGCAAACAAGCAGAGATCGAATGCAAGGTAAATATGTATATCAAATAGCTGGCTTATGTTTTTTATGTAATAATGCTTTTTATAGATCTGCTTCATCATGATTAGATTTTCTTTCAAAATAAAACAGTCTTCCCACATTTCTTGAAATTCTCTTGGTAGTTACTTTCAGACCAGGTTAACTTACCTTGTTTGGTGGATGGATATCATAAACCTCATTTTCAAACACATTCTTGGTTATCTTAATTTCCTGCATTTTTTTAAAGTGTCATTTTACAATATTTCTTTTGAGTTGAAAACTAAAGCTTTTAGTAATGTAACCAAAAGACAGGTAATTTAGAGAAGTTAGGGCTCTCTTGAGTTGATTGATATCTTCTTAGTGAGCAGTAAATATTGACATGTGTTTTCTGGATGGAGTAGAAAGTAACAGAATTATGCATGTACCAGTGGATTAGGAAAAATGGATACATTTTCTGTTATTCTCTTAATTAGTTTTTATGCACATGTGTGTAAGCATTTGATGCAAAAAACATCAAAAGTCAAAAGTATTTGAAATTAGGCATTTTTTTCTTGACATTTATCATCTAGCAGTGATCAGAGAGAGGGATTGGAGGGTAAAGTAGAAGAGGGGGGTGCATCTGTGTGTGTAATAACTAAAGAGATGGGTGTAGTCTGAGCATTAGAATGGATTACCAAACACAGATTATATGATTTTAAAATAAAGTAGGCATCTACCTCCTAGATAGTAGGAATAATGCCCTTTATCTACGTATTCCAGTCATAGTATTCTATGAGAAATAAAGACTTTCAATGGCATATATAAAGCTGTAATTCCATCAACTTGTTCTGATGTCATTAAAAACCAGGAGTGAAGCTTGAGTGGTTTATCAGTGTCACTGAAATCCAGAGATGAAATTACATCCTAATAAATATGCATGGCTGTTACAATTTACACTAACAGAAATCTGTAGGCAATACTAAAATTTGTACTAACAAAAGCATAGTCCATTTTGAATATGACTAGACTAATTTAAAAATAAAGTGATGTGAATGAGCTTATATTAATCTGATTTGTCATACTACTGTGTGACTATTCTGCTAAATTGTCTATGCTAACTTCCCTATAATAGATAACTAAATTTAATCTTTTATCATTATTGATGTAAGTTTTTTTTTAAACAGTTGGTAACAGTGTTACTGAACTTAATATTGCTCCTAAGTATTTAAGATCTATTAAAGGGCTGGAGATTTAGCTCAGTGGTTCTGCCGCCTGCTTTGCAAGCGCAAGGACCCGAGTTCAATCCCCAGCACCAAAAAAAAAAAAAAAAAAAAAAAATCTGTTAGCAAAGTAAAATGTTTTGGGGAAATAAATGTTTGTGGAAGTTGCTAATGAAAATGATTTTCCCTCTGAATAGTGGATACAAATTCAGAATATTAGAAAATTTTAAGATCAGATAGAGGATTAATACCTCTGTAAAGTATGGTACAGATGCTGTCTCATATTTTCCCATGTTTAATCTATATTTTAATTTATTCTGTTGATTGTAGTACCTTTGCAGATTTTAATAATACCATGTATTGTCATCCTAGCACCTGGTACTTTCTGAGTAAATATGTATATTTTACCTTGTTGTGTTGGAACAATTCAGGAACAAATCTAACTTTGTAAAGGAAGCTAGGCCTTGAATTATATAAATTTGATTCATTTTCATAGTTTTATTTAACTGTAGCTTACAATTTGTTAATTATTAAAGCTCATTTTATTTTTCATTTTTGCGAAATGTCTGGATATTGTCTATAGTATTTATTTTCTTGTTACAACTGAATTTAAATGTTTTCAATTAAAGATAATAGTATAAGTTTATGATCTCCAGTTTCAAAATCTAAAAAGACTTTAAAACCTCAAAGTTTATAGATTTTACACAAATTCATTTGGAGGTAAACTCTGATTTGCTTCACTGTGGCCATCTATAATTTCTTTTTATACCACTTAGTGTAGATTTTTATACTTCACTATTTCATTATAAATGCTGCTGGATAATACTAACTTGTGATTAATACACCTTATTAATTTTACTTTTACTTTACTAATTTTAGTATATGTGTTGCCAGAGCTAGCATACTTCTGCTTTTCTAAAATCTAGAAAAATTTCAATTCCAAACATACCTAGTTTATTATTTTGTTTTGTTTGCCACCCTAGAACAAGGAAGAAGTAATGGCTGTAAGACTCCGAGAAGCAGATAGCATAGCTGCTGTGGCTGAACTACAGCAACACATTGCTGAGCTTGAAATCCAGGTACTAAGTGAAAATAATAAAGTACATCTAAATACAGTGTAGTAGTTCTCCCTTTCCTGTGCATGTGAGCAATGGCTTACTTATAACTTCATCCTTATGACTACAGTTCTGTTTTTATTTCCAGGTCCTTTTTTTTATTATGGTAAAATATACATAACGTAAAATTTACTGTTTTAAAATATACAGTTCTGTGGCATTAAGTACATTCACATTGTTGTATAAACATCACCACCATCTATCTCCAGAATTCTTTCATCTTCCATAACTGAAACTCTGTATCCATTAAACTAACTTCTCATTCTCTCCTCCTCCCGGCTCAGTTCCTCTCTTGCTCCTGCCACTAATCAGTCTACATTTTGTGTCATTATTTGAGTATTGTCGGTACCTCATGGAAGTGGAGTCTTACAGTATTTGTGCTTTTGCAACAGGCTTATTTCACTTACACATAATGTCCTTAAGGTTCATTCATGCTATGATGTATATCTGAATATCCTTTGATTTTAAGGCTGAATATTATTCCATTGTGATACTACATTTTGATTATCTGTTCATTCATTGCATTCATTTTTGGGTGATAGTGAATGATCCTGTCAAGAACCTGAATGTATAGCACCTAGATCATATAGTAATTCCATCTAATTTTTTATGGAATTACCATACTATTTTCTATAGCAGCTGCACTATTTTTCATTCTTGTCAGCACTGCACAAAAGTTTCATTTTCTCCACATTCTCACCAACATTTGCTAACTTTCTGGAGCTTTTAAAAAAAGAATCTTTTATCTACATGGGTACGTGTCTTAGTTACTTTTCTCTCTTTGCTGAGGTAAAATACCCAGCACCCAAGGTTAAAGGGGGAAAGAGTTTATTTAGCTCACAGTTTGTAGAGGTTTCAGTCCATAATTGGCTGGCTCCGAGGCAAGGTGGCAGAGGGACAACAATTCATGGAGGTGGAAGACAGCAAAAACAACAAGGGACCTTAACAGCCCTTTTTTGTGTGTGCTTTTTTTTTTGGTACCGGGGATGGAATTCGGGTCCTTCCGCTTGCACAGCAGGCGGTGAAACCACTGAGCTAAATCCCCGGCCCTGTTGTTGTTTTTTGTAGTTTCTAATTGTATTTTTTTTCAAGGAGAGGTTTGATTCACACATAGTAGTTATCGTAACATCTAGAATTTTCTTCCCACCTGAAACTTCCTTTTGTCCTTAAATTTCAATTTAAAATTCAGTTTTCAGCCTTTCCATATTATGTCTTATCATTTGATCTCCATCAAAAGTAATCATATTATGAATGTGTAAATTTATGTTCTTTTGATAGTATTGGCTATAAAGTGTACATATATTCAAAAAAACCTCAGAAATCAATCATGATTCATCTAACAAGTTTTTCATGTCACAAATGGCAGGATTTCTTTTTTAAGGCTGAATAGTATTCCACTATGTACTTACTGCATTTTCTTTATCCATGCATCCATCAGTGGACACCTAATTCCATATTGTGGCTATTGTGAATAATGCTACAAATATTTCTTCAAAATACTGATTTTTTAAAAGATGTGTTCCCAGTAGTGGAATTGATGGAATGAACATATGTCAAATCTATTTTTCATTTTTTAAGATACTTTCATAATAATTTCCATTGTAGCTGTACTAATTTACATTCCCACCAACAGTGTACAAGGGTTTCCTTTTCTCCATGTCCTCTCCAACACTTGTCTTTCATCTTGTTGATAATAGCTGTTTTAATAGGTGTGAGATGATGAAATTTAAGAGTATATTAGAAGCAGTTAGCTGTTCATAAAGTGATTACTGGAATCTTAATTACTAGATTTTCTCATATGTTTTCAGTATTAACCCCATATGACCCTGTCACTTATGTCAGTGGTCCCCAAACTTTTTTACTCCTGTAAGAGTCTAATGCTACCACTGACTAACAGGAGGCGGGGCTCAGACACTAATGCTAGTGATGGGGAGCATCTGAGAAAACAAGTGAAGCATTGCTTGCTCACCTGCCACTCACCTCCTGCTGTGTAGCCCAGTTCCTAACAGGGCACAGACTAGGGGTTTGGAACCCTTGACCTATGCCATTGTTGACCATTTCATTCTCTTTGCCTTCTCTCCTCCCCTGACTTTTAACACTACTTATTTTCTATTCTTTTCTTTTTTGTTTGACTGCTGCTTTCAGTCTCTGTCAGTTCTTCCTGTTTGTGTTCTTTTGACAATCCAAAGTTTTGGCTTTTAAGAACTAAGCAAAATGAAGGGTCTCATAGTTTATAGAGACATTTATCTCCAACCTTAACCTATGTTTCCCCTGACCAATAACTTTAAACCTTTTAAAAAATTATAAGCACAGTATATGGGAAAGCTACATTATAATAAGTTTAAAAACATTGCACAGGGCCAGGGATTTAGCTCAGTGGTTCTCCTGCCTTCCTTGAAAGCACAAGGACCTGAGTTTGATCCCTGGTACCAAAAAAAAAATTGCACATAAAATAAAAAATAAGTAAAATGTGAAAAAAAAAACAACCCACTGCACATACAACTACTACCAAGGTCAAAATAGAAAACTGCCTATCCCCAAGAAGTCTGTCTAGAAACTCACCTCCTTATGATGATCATTCCATAACTGTTCCTCAAATTTTGTCATTTTTGTTTGAACTTCTGATCCATGTAGTTTAGTTTTCCCAGTTTTTCAATTTTGTATGGAGTCAAAGTGAATTTTTTTGAGTGTCTTTCATTGTTCAACATTATTTTGAAAGAATCGTCTTTTTTTTTGGGTTCTGGGGATCGAACTTGGGACCTTGTGCTTGCGAGGCAGGCGGTGGAACCACTGAGCTAAATCCCCGGTCCAAGAATTGTCATTTTTAATGCTGTACATAATTCATTTTTAAAACATATCACAGTGTATTCATTTATTCCTTTATAAGTGGACATTTGGAAATTTCCAGGTTGAAACTAATGTGAACAATGATGTGAATATGAGCAATTTTATACACTATATTAATCTTTCTTTCCCTGAGTGCTTATAATAGTTTAGACTTGTTTCACATCTTCCTCAACACTTAATGGTATTTTATGTCTTAGTTTTTGCCAATCTGGTGGGTATGCAGTGATATTTGATTATCAATTTAAATACATTTACTTTATCACTAAAGCTGTTGACTGGCCTGGTGTGATGGTACATACCTGTAATTCCAGCTACTTGGGAGGCTTAGTAAGAGGATCATGAGTTCAATGCTAGTCTCAGCAATTTAGTGAGATAGTGAGACCCTAACTCAAAATAAAAAGGGCTGGGGCTGTAACTCAGTGGTAGAGTGCTTGCCTACCATGGGTGAGGCCCTGGGTTCAATCCACAGTACAGGGGTCAGAGTGGGGTTAGAAGGAGAGGTTGGCCTTCTCTTTTCTTCTTCTCCTGTTTGATTCATAGTTATATAGATTACTGGGTTTTATTTTGGCAGATTTGTACATACACATAGCATACTTTGATCATTTTCACCCTCTGCCATCATCTCCCATGCTGTGCCCACCTACTTTCCCATGGGGGGTTCAATGTATATATTTTGATTGTATCAATGTCCACATTATTGACACACCCCTCCCCCTATTCCCTTCCTCTTGTCTAAAGATAATAGTCTCTTTCTATTTTTTTATCTTTTTATAGATTACACATATTAAGGAGAACATACTATATTTGTGTGTCTATTTATCTCATTTATCAAACAGCCAAAGCTTGAACACTCCACTACTCAAACAGCAAAGTTCAAAAAAAATCTGCTTAGTGTTTGTAACTTTGCTTGATAGTCGAACCGAAAATCTGACTTGAAAAAACCTATACAAGTCAGTTTCGCAACTTGACACAGACACAAAGGGGTGATGCTTCAGTCTTAAATGCAGCTCTCACCCGGACAGCATATAGTGCTTGTGTTAGCTTGTTAAAACATTTGTCATTGGTGCTTTATTTGCATAAAATATCATAACCATGGCTCCAAAGAAAGTTAGTGATACCAACAGTAAAGCTTAGAGGAAAACTGAGAACTACAATAGAGCTAAAGAAAGAAATCATTACAAGGGCCAGAGATTTAGCTCAGTGGTTCTGCCGCTTGCCTCGCAAGCAAAAAGGACCAGAGTTCGATCCCCGGTACCAAAAAAGAAAGAAATCATTACAAAATTTGTTCAAGTCCTGGAAAAATGAATTTGTAAGTGTAACTATTTGGTTTTCCATTACTTCTTATGGGAAAAATATGTTCAGTTCTCAAACTTTTTGGTATTCAAACATGAATTTGGAACGAATTGAGTTTGACAACTGAGGTATCACTGTGAGTATGTATGATCATATATATATGAACATTTTCTTTATGAATGCATCTATCAGGCACCTAGGTTGACTTCATATCCTGGGTATTGTGAATTGTGCTGTAATAAACATGGGTATGCAAGTATCCCTATAGTGTACTTACTTTAATTGCTTTGGGTATATACCAAAGAATGGTAGAGCTGGATCAAATAGTAGCTCTATTTTTCATTTTTTGGGAACCTCCATACTGATTTCCATGACTGTACTAGTTTACATTTCGACTAGCAGTATAGAAAGGTTCCTTTTTCTCTTACATTCTCACTAGGTTTTTTAAAATTTTGTTTTGTGTTTTTTGTTTTGTTGGTTTTTTGAGACGGGGTCTCGCTATAGTTCAGGCTGGCCATGAGCTCACTATGTAGCCCAGGCTGGCCTCAAACTTGCAGCAGTTCTCCTGCCTCAGCCTGTGTTGTTTTATTCTTGATGAGGTCATCCTGTTTGGAGTGAAATGGAATCTAAGTTTGATGCTCAGCACCAGAAAAACTTTTGAGTCTTTCATAGCATTTATCCTCCCCATCTTCCTCCTTTCCCTCCTCCCTTCTTCTTCCTCATCTTCCTAAGAGCATTTCTGTTCTCCCTGCTTTTCCCTTCATTCTTTGGCTTACACTTTACCTGAACTATTTAATGACCTCCCATCCAGTTTCCTTTTCTTT